AATATAATTTGTCCCCAAAGACTCCTCAATACATATTCTTTGTAAATTGTTGGCACAATAAAATGCAAATGTATCCACCAAAGAAAGGAAGTCAGAAATCATCTGTCATTCTCTATCTTGCTTTGGATGGTAAATCAGCACCTTATGATCTGCTCTGTCAAATGCACTATTATTGAAGAGGCTAGAGCTGGTTTTCAGCCTTTATATCTCTCTCATTGATATATTGATACATATTCCCTCATGATGCAAATGCTTATTTGAGTCCCAAACTCAATCCTTTAAATCATCCAACAAACAGTTTGGAAACTTCATTGGTTGCTTTTGTTTTCGTCATACAATAACAGTTAATTTAAGCACTTTGTTATGTCCTCCTGACATGAAAGGCACTCTATGATTATAAATTGCATTATATTTGCAAGGCTGCAGGCTTGTTTTCATTCATGGAAGCAACATATGAAATCATCCCACATCCAAGATTCTAAGATGAACAGAGAAATACCAGCAAAGATTTAGCAATAGATAGAAAGAAGTCTTGTGGATTGAGCGAGTAGACAAGATGATCCAATGGTGTACTCCTGAGATTGGCTGTCAGAGCCAAAAATAAACTCCTGCTTATTACTTCCTTCACAATAGGGTGGTTCAAAGTCCATAAATTGGACCTTCCCATCTTATTTAGAGATAATTTCCTTGGTATTTACCTTCTATAACAAGCACCGTTTATACCGTTGACTTATAGTAGGTGCTAATCACCTTGATATTACATCAATGTGAGGTCATTCGGTAATCTGGTACTTGGAAATCTAGCTAATTTACATTCCATGTTACACCCACAAAATACACAGTCAATCACTTTACAATATATTCCATGAAGCGCTTTGAAATAACTCGAAGACGTGATAAGGTGCTATATCAAATGCAAGGATTGTTATCATTAATATTATTCCAGTGCTTAAACTCGCTAAACCTTCTACCATCACATATTGTCCGTGATGTTGCTTAAACTGCTTTGACATTGAGGTTCTGGAGGCGTGAAGTGCTGCACCAAACTCCAAACATTTCTGGGTTTCCAGCCTTCACCTCTTTTACCACCTCTAGCACTCCAGAGGTTCTCGCATCTGTACGAGAATGCCTCAGCACCATAACTAATTGGTGCAACAATGTCAGGCATGCATGACATCCCTGTCCCGGCCAACAATCCCCCAGATAAAAATCAGTCATTCACTTAATGGCTATTTGTGGAAAATTGCAAATGCTTTGTTTAAAGGCATCATCATCATCATCTTCATCAACTTCTTCTCCCTCCTCTCTTCCCTTAACCCCTTCCTCCACATCCACTCCCCCACCCACGACCATGGCCACCCCCTTGATCTGGTGATCCCCCGGGGCCTCACCGTCTCAGGCATCACCATCATCAACAAAGCCATTTCAGACCACCACTTCATCTCCCTCAACATCTCCGTACTCCTTCCCCTTTCTCAACCCTCTACCATCACATATTGTCTGTGTAAAAAAATTCCTCCCTCACCCTCTCCACTGCCCTGGAGTCATCTGAACTCCTACACCTCTGGTCCTCTCTGACCGATCTCCCCTCCTTGCTCTGTTTTCTCCACAACTCCCTCTCCTCCATTCTGGACTCCCTTACTCCCTTCACCTCCCAAACTGCATCATACTCCCGTAAATCCCCCTAGTATACCAGCCATCTCCGTTCCCTTAAGGCACAAGTGCGAGCTGCCGAACACGCCTGGACCAAATCCAAACTAATGGTCCATTGGCAGATTTGACTTCATCACACCAAGACCTACCGCTGTGCCCTTGCCTCCGCCAAATCATTCTTCAAAGGACAAAAGGACAACTCCAGGCTTCTCTTTTCCACCACAAACCATCTCCTCCTTCCACCTTCCCATGCCTCGCCCATCCTCTTCTCAAACTCCAACTGTGAGGAGATGCTGGACTTCCTCAAATCCAAAATCGAGGGGATACGTTCAGCCACCTCTGCCCCATCCACCGCCACCCCCACAACACTTCTCCCTCATGACCCACCCCACACCCATCCCCCCTATACTCCTTCGACCCTATCTCTCCCTCCTTCCTCACCGCCGTCGTTTGCAAACTCAAACCCACCACCTGCTTCCTCGATCCCATCCCCACCTCTCTCCTCATCTCCCAGCTCCATCTTTTGGCCCCACTCCTGTCCGATGTCATCAACCTCTCCTTGTCCACCGGTTCAGTTCCCACTACCCTAAAAACAGCCGTCATCACCCCCATCCTGAAAAAACCTTCCCTGGACCCATTCCTTCTCTCCAGCTACCGCCTCATCTCTAACCTCCCATTCTTCTCCAAGGTCCCAGCTCCGCTCCTTTCTCTCTCGCCCTTCCCTCTTTGAACCCCTTCCAATCCAGTTCTGCGCTGCCCATAGCATAGAAACAGCCCTGGTCAAAGTCACTATTGACATTCTGAACATCTGTGATCAGGGCTCCCTCTGCCTCCTTGTTCTCTTTGACCTCTCTGCCGCCTTCGACACTGTCGACCACTCCATCCTCTAACAGTTTCTCCTCCAGCCCCAGCACTGTCACGTCTGGCATCCCCCAGGGCTCTGTCCTTGGCCCTCTCCTCTTTAGTATCTACATGCTCCCCCTTGGTGACATCATCCGCAGACATTGGGTCAACTTCCATATGTATGCGGATGACACCCAACTCTAACTTTCTGCCTCCACCCTCAACTCCAGGACCACTGCTGTCCTGACAGGCTACCTGTCGGACATCAAGTCCTGGATGTAGGCAAATTTCCTACAGTTGAATGTGAACAAGACTGAGGCCCTCCTGATTGGCTCGCGCCAGCACCTCGGGCTCTGGCAACATAAACCTCTATGGTTGCACACTTCAACTCACCAAGCCAGTCAGAAACCTAGGTGTCTTGTTCGACCCTCAACTGTCTTTTCTTCCCAACATCCAAGCCATAACCCGCTCTGCCTTCCCTCACCTCCGTAACATCGCCCGACTCCGCCACTACCTCATCCCTCAGACCGTTGATACTCTTGTTCATGTCTTCATCACCTCCAAGCTCGACTATACAAACTGCTTGTTAGCCTTCCCACCTTCTCCCTCCACAGGCTGCAGGTAATCCACAACTCTGCAATCCACGTCCTCTCCCGCACCAAACTCCGTGAGCCCATGTCCCCCATTCTCGCCTGACCTCATTGGCTCCCTGTCCTTCAGAGGATCTAGTTCAAGATTCTGATCCTCACTTTTAAAGCCCTCCATGGTCTCTGCCACCTCCTAACCCCTACCAACCCACCCTCTCCCTCCACTCAGCCGGCTCCGGCCTGCTCCAAGTCCCCTGACCCGCCTGCCCCATCATTGGTGAGAGAGCCTTCAGCCACTCTGCCCCCAATCACTCCGCCTCGCCTCCTCTTTAGCCTCCTTCAAGTCCCGCCTCAAAACCTCTTTGACCATGCCATCGGTCACCTCCCTTCCCCTCCCCTCCCTTCTTCCTCCCTGACCCCAGCTCAGGTCTAAAATGCTGTACACTGTCCAGCGCCTTGGGACATCCTCCTGACGTGAAAGGCGCTATACAAATGTAATCTTGTTGTCATCAGTGTTGTTTGCCTACATATACACAGTCACTAAACCTCATAGTAAAATCTTGTGAAGCCTTTTGAGACAACTTGATAATGTGATAAGGCACTGTATCAAATACAATTAATATTACTATTATTTATCTCAATAGCAGTTTAGTCTGCAATCTCTAACAATCGTGGAAGCTGGGAGATGCCCTAAATATCTGAAAATGTTACTATCTCAATGTGAATCACTGAGATTGCGAAAATACTGTACATTTTAATGATGTATCGTGCATGAGTGAACATCTGGTATTATCGCAATATACACATGTAATGGCGTCAAGTTGTTGAGATGTTTACACTATCGCAGAACCTCAGCAGGCCCTTTGCTCTATTGCCATGATTCTCATCGTGGAAACATGCAAAGGCAACAGGAGATCTGCCTCACAGAGTACAGTTTTCTGAAATTCGGTACTGGGATATCTAGCCATTTTACATTCCATTTCCCTCCAGAGGTGGGTTTGTAATGTTAAAGGAGAATTAAAGCTCCCAACTGCCAGTAGCATGAAATGCTGAGTAGAAATTGTCATGTCATGTAAAATCGTGATCAGAAACAGTCTCCCTTTATCACTTATTTCTTTTTAAGTGACCCTAAAGGCCTACAGGAGAAAGAACATTCTCTCCCTATGTTGGTTACAATTTTTTCATTTGAATGTTACTGTATTCATTTCTGTTTCACAAAACATCTGATGGGAGTTCCATTCCATTTAGTAAGAGCTGACAAAACCAGTTTGTCTTAAAATGTACAATGGTGCAGAATTGTGGAAATTGTTTTAATCCACTCTTCGTTTGGAAGCTGTTTTAAAAGAACTGCCTTCCAAGTGAAGGGTGAAATTAAGAATTTTCAACAATTCAGCGTGATCGTAAGTATTAATACAAAAACAATGATAGAGGATAAGACTAAGTAATATTTCAGGCCTCTTTCCTGATTTACCACCATATATACAAAACATTTTCCAGAAAGGAAACTTCCAAATGGTCCAATTTTACCTAATTTAACCGCTTTCACAGTCAATGCCTACAGATAATCTGGTCCCCAAAACATAAGACAGCTCCAGTTTAACAGCAGTCCATCACCTGTCACAATGGTCCAAATTCCGAAAGTCTAAAGAGTGGCAATTCAGCAACAAGTGCAGTTTCAATGCAACTCTTCATTGGATTATGGGCAGGTAGGGCTGAAGGGCTGGCTGTGCTCTGTAAGTTATCAGCTCAGTTGTGCATCACTGATCAACAGTTTATTGCCTGTAATCAGCTACAGCAGCCAAAACCTTTGCACTGCACTGGCATATTTGAAAAGCTACGAACACAGACATGTTTCAACACACTCCGAATCGGAATCGCTTCAAGGTGTAAACCACTTTGGAAGCATAACATTCCTACCCAGGTGAAGGGTGCTCTGTCTCCTTGCTGCTGCTGGAAGCCCCGTCTATAGAGTATCCATTTAAATGGTATGCTGTGAGAATCACGTTCTGGGAAGTAGGCGTCAGATCCATGGTGTGCAAAGCATAATTTCTGCGAGCTATTGTTCAACTGGACACAGTATAAGGCAGAAGAGCGTAATAAAAATCCTTCCTTGCCTGGCAACGTGGGTCATTCCCATACTGAAACTCCACCCCTGAAGTTCTGGGACAGTGGGTGGGGTTAGGTTCTGAAATACTGTACCTTTTGTTCTTCCAAACTAGGAACAGCAAATGACAGAGGCTGTGAACTCATAAAGTCCAACTCTTTGTATTGAATTATGCGTGTACTTTGCAGTCCTGATATAGACATTTGCTTCTCATAAATATAAAAGCACTGAACGTTACAAAGGAAATTAATATCAAAGAAACACTGTCAACGTCACTACTCTATTTAACAATCAATTACAAGAGACAATGATTAACTTTAAAATCCTTCTGGATTTTTGTTGCACTTAGGTTCTTAAGCTCTTACATTTTTTTGTGTTATGTGTTAAACAGTGAGTGCTGATGCTATCACTGGAGACTTGGCATATTTTAGGAGTCACTGAACCAGCAGAACCAACATGATTTAACATATACAGCCTGAATCTCAATCTCTCAGGTTACTGCTGAATATTATTGTTTCTTCTATTTTTTTTACATGAAGGCATCTCAAAGCACTTCACAGAATTTACTGTAGAACATACAGTATGCTGTAGGCCAATTTAGAAGCGCTCTGGATCAATACATATAACCAATGATTTTGTTTTGGTGAATGTTTTTTTTTGGAGTCATTGAGATAAAGGATGCTAGTGCTTGGGAAGAGAGAGGTCAAATTTATAGTATTTCTTAATAGGATTCTTTGAACAAAGGATGCCACAAGACCTTCCGTTGACCTCCACTCTGGAAGTAAATTGCAGAGTAGCATTCCCATGGGTTGGTGTGATGTACTTACATTTACTGGAAGGAATACCAACTTAGTGACTTAATTGCTTTTTAGGAATCCCATTATGAAACAATGTATCACAAATTCAATTCCAGAATATTTTTCCCCTTTGGATACCCAGAAGTTAATTGCAGTGCCCTAACCCACTATAATATACAACCCTATATGCTCTCAATGTTAAATAAGCTCTTTATGCACCATAAGCTCTCCAAGTCATTTCATTTAACTTTGCATTAACACTCATATTTTTCAAATAAAAATGTTTTTAAAAGGTACAACAATAATTTTCTATCATTCCCTTGTTCTTTTTAACAAAACAATAACAATCTGTTGCTTTTTTGCTGCATACCAGTGATTCAATTATAATAATAATCCTTGCATTTGATATAGCGCCTTATCACAGCTTCAAGACATCTCACAGCTCTTCACAGAATATACTGTAAAGTGAACTGACTGTATATTTTTGTGAGCGAAATGTGGCAGTCAATTGTGCAGTGTCCAACGAACATTTGTGGATTGAGTGACCAAATTATTATTATTTGTTTTAAGGGATTATTAACCCCAGAAACCTGATCCGCCAAACGACTAACAACCGGGTTCTTATTTACTGCTAGGTAAACAGAGATATTTGAAGTAAGGAAACTTGCCCAATGTTTCGCTCTGCCCAGGAATCAAATTCAGATTCTCTCGCTTGTGAGGCGAGTGCTCTAACCACTAAGGACTCCACGGGTTCAACACTCCCCAGGATTCAACATTCAACAATGCATTTATTATTACTGACTATTCAATGCACCATGAGTTCCTGATCTCAAGCTCTGCACTGGTGAGAACTCGTGTAATTCCTTATAAGGTAAGTCCCATTCCCATTCAGTGACTTTGGGTTGCTCTAATGAATGTTTCAACACTGGCACTCCAAAGCTTGAGTACAGTTCTCTATCTGTATAGAGCTGTAATAATCCTTATGTCCTTGCATTTGATATAGTGCCTTTACAATCCTGTTCCGAAACACATATTCATCCAATTATTTTCTAAATCAACTAATGATGGAGGTTAAAATTGTTTATATAGAAGGTTATTCCCAAATCTGTGGGAGAAAAAAAATCCACTTAATCTCAAAACTTGTTTAAGACTTCTTAATTTTATACAGTTTTAATGTCATCTGGCTCTATGCTCTCAGTCAAAGATAAATCATCATCAATCCCTCTTAGATGCTGAAAACTTGAGTCATGTTTTAATGAAAACAAGTTAGTTTTCTTAATATCTCTTAATAATTTAGAGCCCTAAATCCTGAAACCATCAAGATTGTTGTTCTCCAACTATCTTTATTACATGAATGCGCTTTGCAAGATACGGTGGCTAACAATGCATACAATATTCATAAGTGGTTTTGCTAATGATCTGCATGAGGTTAAATAACTTGAATGTATGATTAGCCTAGCTAGTGACAACTTCACATAGACTGTGAGGCTGAACTCACATTATGGGATGAAAAATGTAATGTAATAATTATCACTAATACTAAATGTCAATCAACATGATGCATTTATTATTATTATTAATAATAATAATCCTTACATTTGATATAGTGCCTTATCATGTCATCAAAGTGTCATCAAGGTTTGACTATATATATTGAGTGAATGCAGCAACCAATTTGCTCACAGTAATTTCACAACTATAAACCAGCTCAGCAGTTTTATCACAAACAATGGAATTTATCCCAAATATAATGAAACACACGTAATTTTCTTTTTCCACCTTTCTTAGTTCACATTCGTTAACATACATATATGATTCCAGTTGCTGCTCATTGTGCATAAACTGACATTAAAATACATCTGCTCTTTCTTATTCCATCTGATTGATTATTCCAGCTCCCTCAGAAAGCTATTAATCTTTTTACAGTCATCACCTGACTATGAGGCTAGTCATCCACAGAAAATGTTATATTACAAGAAACACCTTTCTCCAAGAAATATATGAATAGTGTGAACAGCAGGGAACCCAGAACACACGGTTGAAAGTTATTTGCTCTCAGCAGAACAACTTCCATTTATCATCACCTCCGGCTTTCTAATGCAAAGTGAGTTTTGAAATCAATTAGCCACTTTGACAATAATTTCATGAAGCATGGGTCAGATTTTTCCTCAAGGATGCTCTGTTTTCAATGCCTTGAGATCTCCTCCCAACATGATTAATCCCTACAGGGATTCTTCCCACTCAGCTCCTATTAACCCTGCAAACCAAAGCCCCATCCGGTAGGGTGGTCCTAGCAGGACAAGCAGGGGGAAAGCTTTAGCTGGTTGGACTCCAACACGATGCAGTATGCCAATGCACTCTCTGGGGTCCCCAAGCCTTGATTCTTGCCAACCTGCTTCTAACATTTTCCGCAATTAAGTAAGTAAGATGTGTCCCTCTAGGAAAAGTGCACATTCCATTCGAATAAATATCCAGGGAATTTCCACGTATAGGTGGGATGCGTGGAGCTCTCACTTTAGTTTGGATACTCTTAAGCAAGTTTCTGCACGTGTCAGACACCTGGCTAATCAAAAATATTGAACTACTGCATCTCTCTGTCCTCCCCCAACTCTATGGCACTATTTATCCAGGCAGACAGTTTCAAAGTCCCTTTACCAGCTTTGCACACATCCAGATATAAGAGTCGGATTGTTCTGAGGAACATTTAGCAGAGGATATAACATACCCAAGGCAAAGTAGATATTGCCTTATATGTAATATAGTTTCCAATCCAAGTGGAACGTATTGCTTCCAAGATTTTTGCAACAAGTGCCTATTCTAGAGCTAATGAACGATGTTTTACTGAAGCAAGTGATGTCCAGGTGTTTGGGAACCCTGGGTCTTGCTCCCATCAACATGTAGTTGGGGATTAAACACTCAATTGCTTTAGCTAATTTGATTACAGATTTAACCCTTTAACCTGTTGTACGTTTTCTACAAAGTCAAACAGTTCTTAACAAGATAATAGGATTCAGTCAAGGACATCTGTGAGCGTAGACAGATTCAGTAATTATACATCATCATTTTCTATTATCGAAGACTGAGGTGGTTCAGAAATTTGTTTTGAGATTCTTTTATTCACTTCCAATTTTCTCCTATTCTTTCCTGAATGTGCTGACCCATGTTGGGGTATGGTTGTTAGACAGTAAGTGTCAGCAGGCTATGTGTTCCTGAGGGAAGGGGAGAATTAGAGGCAAGTGAAATCTTATCCTTATCTTGACCTCTATCCCTACAGATGTTCCAGTGACTTGACAATCAAGAGCAGGATCCCTTGTTAATTTATCCCCTCCACGGTATCAGATCCTGTGGTCAAATTGCAAAGTCCTGATATTAATTATAGCTCTTGCATTTGATATGGCTCCTTTCATGTTTAAAGGATATCTGTCTGGATGTTTAAAGGATAAGCGCCCTGAGACGCTACCCTGCATGGAAGGTGCTGTATACGTGAAAGTTGTTGTTGTCTGAAAGAGCTTCACAAGATTTACTGTAAAGTACAGTTAGTCACTTGTAGACAAATGCAATAGTCAACTTGCTCACAGCAATGTCCCCAAACAGCTGTGAAATGAATGACCAATTTTATCTGGGGGATTGTTGGCCATAACACTGGGTGAAACTCCCTTCTCTTTTCATGTAGGGGCATTGGATTTTTAATATGGTCCTGAAAGGCTGAACGGGCCTGCAGATTAGGGTCTCATGTGAAGGACAGCACCTCTAACAATGCAGCACTTCTCTTGTCCTGCATGGGAGTTGGATCTACAACCCTCTGATTCAGAGGCAAAAGTGCTACTGCACCAGCTGACACCTGATGTTGTCAAGCTAAAATCAGCTAACCCAGCACAGACTGGGGATTAAGCACTGATTAAACTTTAGCCTGACCCACATAAGCACATTCAGATTGAGTTTATGAACATAAATGAACTGGCAATCAGAGTCTTTACTTTGATCAAATATATAGGGTATAAAGGAGAGGGTGGGGTGACTATGGAAGTTAGTTTTTGAAGTCAGGCTCGGTATGTGGCCTCTATTCTCACAAGTACTCCATCGTCTCCTCAAGAGAAACTTGTCACTCTACACTCATCACCCTTAGCCCTCAGCTCCCTGCCTCAATCTCTCAAATGGTTTCCACCAACCACATCCAGCATAGACTGCTACACAGCAAGAGGGCGTCATCTTATCCAGCTCCAAAAACTACTTCCATGGTCTGGCACAC